ATATATAATAATAATTCAAGTACATCCTTTCAAACTGCTAGTCACATCCTCATGTAAATGGAAATGTATCGAGGTCAGAAAAGTTATGGAGTTCATTTTTATTTATCCTACGATAAGTCATTTAATTGCTTATCGCGACAGGCACACAATAAAACAGTGGAAACAAACATGTGTTTGACTTTCATTAGTGAATGAAACTGTGTGCCCTTTATAGTCTGTGTCCAATATTGTGTATTCGTATATATATCCTATATATATGCTAAGGTACCGCTACTGACACGATAGCAGTCATTTAGTGCGCATACAGTATGTGTAATTAAACCCATGATATCAAAATCTCACTCCAGCCAGGTACCCAAAGTTGGCAACCCTGGGATAGAGGACATCAGACTCCAGAGAAAACTTGCTCGAGTCCGAGTCCAAGTCAGAGCGTCAATGTACAAGTCGAGTCCGAGTCATCGTGGGGGGGGGAAATTCACGAGTCCGAGTCCAAGTCAGAGAGTCAACGTACAAGTCGAGTCTGAGTCATCGTGGGGGGAATTATTCACGAGTCCGAGTCCAAGTCAGCGTACGCGAGAATTCACGAGTCCAAGTCCAAGTCGCATCAATCAGTGCGCGAGTCCGAGTCGAGTCACGAGTTCCGAAAATCGGCACTCGAGTCCGAGTCCAGGACTCGAGTACTCCATCTCTGACACACACACACACACACACACACACACACACACACACACACACACACACACACACACACACACACGGCATTCAGAAACCAGGTCTGTAAGATGCAGTAGGAATTAAAGGAAAACTTCCAGAGCAAAAGCAGAGCAAGAGCTGCATCTTGTTTCTACAGGTTTGCTGAGATAGTTATCCCTAAAGTCCACCCTTTCCTTCCACTCCCACGTCAAGTCTGTGACCAAATCGGCCTTTTTCCATCTAAGGAACATTGCCAGACTCCGACCGTCACACTCGGAGTCGGTTGCAGAAACCCTAGTCCATGCGTTTGTCACATCCCGCTTGGACTACTGCAATGGTGTCCTGTTTGGGGTCCCCAACAAAACCTGGTCAGGCTCCAGTATGTTCAAAACTGTGCTGCCAGGGTACTCACACATCCAAAGCCGTGGCAGCACATCACTCCCACCCTCATCCACCTCCACTGGCTGCCGCTCAGTCCCGCATATCCTACAAAGTCCTCCTCCTCACCTACAAGTCCTACAAAATGTTAACGTAATTAACTTATTAAACTGTTATATAATGTGCGTTAACATAAAGTGACTTAAAAAGAGCTGCAGGTAACATCTTGAACTTTTATTTTGCGCATCAAACTTCTTTTAGAAAACAGCTGATTTAAGTTTTTGCGATTATATTTTTGAACTTTTTTAATCAGTTGGGTGTCTCATATGGATTTATGATGTCACACCCAGACTAATATTAACACACACACACACACACACACACACACACACACACACACACACACACACACACACACACACACACACACACATACAGAAATAGAGTGGCATACCCATCAGTGTACGTAAGATGTATAAGAGAAGTGTTTTTATTTGCCAGTGAAAGTATGGGTGTTGTTTACCTTTAGCTAAATACAAACAAGGCACACAGGACCTGAGTGCACGCCATCAGCTGTGCCGTGACTTGTTTGAATGCAAATTGGAAGCAACTACCTACAGTTACATGTGAACATAAATGTGTGTGTATCTGTGTGTGACATAACAGTTGCTCCCGTCCTCTGCCTCGGGGCCTTCTGGGTAATAGTCTAACATCATGTGACATGTTGAAGTGAGACTGACTGATGTTACTGATGACTTCCTTCATTCTCATACTGTATATGAGATTCTCTACTTCTTAGAGTAACTCGCCTTTGGTTTCACTGGTTTATATCATTTCCTTTACGTCTCTTTCTTCATCCTTTCGCTTCCTTTCATTGGCTCTCTTTTCAACATCCTTCAATTTGACTTTCCTTTCTTTTAAAATGTTTTTCTTCCACCTTTGCTTTGCTCTTCCTTCCTATCCCTCTAGCTTTTATCCTTGCTTATTCCTTTTTTTCTCTTTCCTTCTTATTATTCCTACTCCCTCCCTTCCCTCCTTCCTTTCTTTTTAATGTTACTCTTCTTCCTTCGTTCTGTCTCTTCCTTCCTATCACCTTCCTTTCTTCTACTTCCACCACTTGCCCTTTACCTGTCTTCCTTAGTTCCTCCTTTCCTTTTTGGCTCTCTTTTCTTTCCTTTATTAGCTCTCTCTTCCTTTATTTGGAGACTCCTTTTTGATTATTGTTTACCTTTCTCTGTTTCCCTCCTTCCTTTAATACTATTTCATTCTACCAACTACCTTCCCTTCATTTCCCCATCTTTTCCTCCTTCCTTTATTCTCAATTCTCTTTTTCCTTCCTTCCTATGTGCTCTTCCCTTACATCATCGCTCGCTGCTTTCTCGCTTTTATACATGCACCCTGTCATTATACTTTCTGTTCTTTCTGTTTGTCCTTTCTTGCTCCTTCATATTGAGGTGCACAGTTGACATCTCATAACAAAAAACCGAATCATATTCATACACTTATGAATGCATGGATAAATGCCTCAACACACACATACACACACAAAGTACCACACACATGCTGAGCCGAGCACAATGAGGCCATTTCAGAGGGATAAATCAGCTGAATTGGAAAGGTTCCGTCACCATGATACACACACACACACACACACACACACACACACACACACACACACACACACACACACACACACACACGCGTGTTTGTGCATATTCCTTCAGTGCGGTCAGCATATCCCTCTGCAGGGAGAGATACAATTCCTGCAACTGACAGGAGAAGAATAAGAGGCTGTTGACTGCCATTGTGTGTGTGTGTGTGTGTGTGTGTGTGTGTGTGTGTGTGTGTGTGTGTGTGTGTGTGTGTGTGTGTGTGTGTGTGTGTGTGTGTGTGTGTGTGTGTGTGTGTGTGTGTGTGTGTGTGTGTGTGTGTGTGTGTGTGTGTGTGTGTGTAAGCTGTCTGGTCTTTCAAGCTCGTTATTAAATATCCATGAGACCATTAAGCTAAATAGATGAATGAGACTCTATTATTGCCAAACACGCACATACACGCAAGGACACACACAAGGTCTACTGAATAGTGAATATATGAGACTCTTTCTGATAAAGAAAAAAGAACAAAAAAAGAAGAAGAAAATACTGTAAGAAGCTAAATTAAAATTGGGAAAAACAAGTTTACTGACATAAAAGTATCTTGTTGTTAGTTTGAACCCGAACCCTTTCTTCCCAAAACATGCCAATACACACAGTATTGTTTTTCAAGTGTATCCTTCTATTTTTTTGGGAAACTTTTTTCAGTTCTCCAGATATAAAATACATTTGTCTTCATAAACAATACATATAAGAAATAATTGGCAGAGGTTTATTCACAAACTGAAATACCACATTTCTATATGAAAAGATCAATTGATGCTGTATCCGAAAATAAGGTAATTAAGGACATAAGGAAATGTTTTAAAATGTGTCAGAGCAAAGCTACTAATCTCTGTACTAATACCATCAAAAGTAGGACTCAAATTGTTTGCATTATTCCCCCAATTCAATTGCCAATCTTTATCTCTTAAGAACAACCTAAATTGTCAGGAAACGTACCACTACACCCTATTTTATACACATTTCATTTCTTTCTGTTTTATTTCAACCAGAGTTAAAATCTCCTTTCCACATAGTGTAAATATTACTCATATAATATATTTTGTTGGCTTCCTGACCTATCTAAAGCAGCAGATTTGAATGTAAATGAATCATCGTTTGTGTTCAGATTTCATCATTAGGCATGTTATCCATCACTGACTCTTGTTTTTGATATCAAATACCCTTGTGCACTCTCATGTAACAGGAAGCATGGCCTGGACTGACCAGTGTTATCTTGTACAACAGCGTAATCACCCAGACACACACACACACACCACACACACACACACACACACACACACACACACACACACACACACACACACACCACACACACACACACACACACCCACACACACACACACACACACACACACACACACACACAATTGTATACATCACTTCAGGGGACATTACATTGACTTACATGCATTTCCTGGAGACTTATCCTAACCTTAACCCTAACCAACACATGCCTAACCCTAACCTTACCCTAACCCTAACCAACACATGCCTAACCCTAACCCTTAACCTTACCCTAATCCTAAACCTAACCAAGTCTTCACCCTAAAATTAATGATTCCCCTCATGGGGACCTCCAATTTGTCCCCATAAGGGAGGCGACTCCCCACACGTGACTGTGTAAACAAATGTAGGTCCCCACAAGTATAGTAATGCTAGGCCACACACACACACACACACACACACACACACACACACACACACACACACACACACACACACACACACACACACACACACACACACACACACTTGCCAGAGGAAAGGAGGAAAGATTGCCTTTCTTCTGATAACTATCGTTCATCTCATCTTACACTGTACCCCCCATACAACCACACACACACATATACACACACACACTCATCTTACCTGCCTTACTATAAAATGTACCCCCCCTCAACCAACATGAGCTCACCACATGTCCTCACCTTTAAAACACATCAATCAATCTTTGTGTGTGTGCGTTTGTGTGTGAGAATGTGTGTGTGTGTGTGTGTGTTGTTGACCATTATAAAGTGTACTTCCTCTTCTCCAGTTACCCCCTCCTGTCTGCTGTACCTGCTTGAATAGTCTTGTCTTAATAACCAAAGTCTGCAAAAGTAACTAGTACTGTAACTACAAAGTACTTGTTGTTTTTCTAACATAAATAATTGATAACAAAAAAGTAATGACACTTCCATTGTTAAATGGGTTTTTGGATAATGAATGATTATGTATGTAATTTATATTGTTGGGAGTTTAAATATATGTTATTGTTGGTCAAAGGTCACTCACCACCAGGTTTCCAATGACCATGACCAGCATGAAGACGAGTAAGCAGAGCGGCTGCCCGGCAACCTCCATGCAGTCCCACATGGTTTCTATCCACTCGCCGCACAGCACCCTGAAGACGATGAGGAAGGAGTGGAAGAAGTCCTTCATGTGCCAGCGAGGGAGGGTGCAGTCCTTCGAGATCTTACACACACAGTCCTGCAACGAGAGGGAACAGCGTGAACAAACACTTTCTCCCCACTTAAAAATGTTTTGTTGTTATTGATGAACACAATGATCCACAAGTATTGCACAAAAGAAAATAATAATAACACATTAAAACCACAACAACATTTTTCCTGTCAATATGCATTTACATAAAGGTCAGAGGTCAGAGCTGACCTGGTAGTTTTTGCCGAACAGCTGCATGCCGACCACGGCGAAGATGAAGACGATGATGGCGAGGACGAGCGTCAGGTTTCCCAGAGCGCCCATGGAGTTACCGATGATTTTTATCAGGGTGTTGAGTGTCGGCCATGAGCGGGCCAGCTTAAAAACACGAAGCTGGAAGCAAAGGATTTTCAGAATAAGAGTTGTTCTTAAAATAAATGTAACCAATAGAAATGTTACATCAGTAAGATAAGAGAAACAAAAAATGTGGACACAGTAAACCAACAAGAAAAAAAAATGACAAAGAAGGTACACGAAACAAAAGAACGACAAGGAAAAAGAAAGAAGCAAACATATAATGTGTGTGTTGACGAGAGTATCTGTGTGTTTGCCTCCAGCAGACGATTACAATACCCAGAGTGACACTGGGAGAGATCGACGCAGACAGACGAAGACAGGCTTCAGGGATCTGTGTGTGTGTGTGTGTGTGTTTGTCTTGATGTTGACAACCATCGTCCTTGTCTGCAGCTCAACAGAAGCCAGCATGTGTTTTAATGGTCTTAATTGGTTGTAAAAGTATAAATACAAAAGGGTTAAATTCTCAGTTACAAGTTTCCTTCCTTCTTAATTTTACTCAATTTAAAGAAAAAAATCTTCAAACTAGCATCAAAATAAACTTTGAGTACCAAAGAATGAGCACTCATTATGCAGAATGGTTCATTTCTGAGCCATTTCTGTTCATCACTTTATTGCTACTTTTATTGTAGAATAGCCTCTCCTATAATGTTCTGCTACTCATTGAAAAGGTTGGAAAAAATGGGTGCATGTTTTACAAACGCAACTTAAAAATGTCTGATTTTAAAGGACAGCTGAAAGAGAATACGTCTGTGTAAAAAGGTGTTGAGGGATAATATGAGTGTGTGTGTGTGTTTGCAGTCACCAGTCTAAAGGAGCGGAGCACGCTGAGCCCCTCCACGTCCGACAGGCCGAGCTCCATCAGGCTGAGGCAGACGATGATGCTGTCGAAGATGTTCCAGCCCGTCTGGAAGTAATAATATGGATCCAGAGCGATGATCTTCAGCAACATCTCTGCTGTGAAGATCCCCGAGAACACCTGACACACACAAACACACACACATTTATATTCAGGTTCCATAAGAGATCTGATATCTTAGACGGAATTGTTTCTTTTCAAATCTGATACAAAGATGCTTAAGCCACATTAACACACCTATTACTGTAAATACTCAAAGCTTTTTCACAATTGGGAAATCACTGTGTATTTTGTAAAGATTTGTTCCCTATAATCTTTGATTCATAATCAAAATCTGTCTGTTCGCATTCTCCCTTTCACAATAAAAGCCTTTGCATACTGTTTACACTACATCACTGCCGACCAGTGAGCATTTTGCTCAGAGGCAACCAAAATAGCTTACAACAAAAAAAACACAGTAATGTTCACTGTCGAAACAGAGAAGGTGAAAAAGAGAAAGAGGGAAATTGATAAATACCTTTCTCTTTCAACTGAGTTACATGAGAGCAACCTGGCTATTCACTAATACTACCGGATGTTAGAGAAGAAAACACAAACAGTAGATACTTTACACAAAATGCTGAAAATAAGTGTGAAAGTAAACTCCACAACATCCGGTGAACTTTCTCGTTTTTAAGGACTTTCGAAATTGTGAACTAGTTAATTTGAACACGTGTGTGTTCTGGGAACAGGATGTTCTGTTTGCAGTTCGCAAAGGCAGCCATGTACCTGATTTTATTTTTTGAAACTGATTAATTTCAACACTCTCCTCAGCGGTTTGATCCTTTAAGCCTCTGCAGACCTCAGCGAACTGGCTGTGCTTCATCTGCTTTACATCATGTGTGTGTGTGTGTGCGTCTAAAGAGTGTGTGTGTCTAGCGTGCATGTGAGTGTGTGTCTTCGCAGCAGCAGCCTCTTCCTGCTTGTTGTTCCAGAAAGAGGAATATTCTGGATGTGACACAGGCTACGTGACACACAGTGTGTGTGCATGTGTGTCTGTTTCTAAGCATGTGTGTGTTTTACAAATAGTGTGTTTGCATGTTTGTGTATGATTGTGTTTGAAATGTGTGTTTTACAGGCAGTGTGTGCGCATGTGTGTCTTTCTCTTCAAATGTGTGTGTTTGTCTCACAGGCATTGTATGTACAAAAAGCAATTTATGCAATTTTATATTTATTTATATCACACAAAAAAACAGGATCTTTCAGGGGTTACCTCTATTTAACACTACACACACATACACACAATCATACACATGCACACACACCTACACACGCACACACCCATTCACACACACAGGTGATCCTCTTACGGGCTCATTAACTCTGTAGTGTGTTGATTAGCTCCTCAACAATCACGCTGTTATTATTACCGGCATCAGGAGTACCTCTCTTATCAGGATGTGAGTTTGAGGAGCTCTCAGACGGAAAGGTAGAGGGAAAAGGAGAATGTGAAATGAGTCAGCCTCAGAGAGTGCATTTTAAACCAAATAGAAGCAGGCATGTCAGAGCGTTCCTCACATTAATGCAGTGTTACTGATCAGTGCACAGTGTGTGTGTAAGATTGTGTTGACGTCAGGCGTAGTGACGTTAATGAAGTTAAACACAGTTCAGCTGTCAAATATCAGCAGCAGCCTCTGGCACACACACAGATACTCCAGTTATCATATTATATAAGTATTTTATAAACTAAGAGGAGATGTTTAGGGGTTTATACGATTTGGAAAATATTGCAACATTTTATACATTTTTGAATATCTTTTGGTGTACAACACTATGTTGCCTAAAAAGCATTTTTAAGTGTTATTCTTTAACAATTCTGGAATCATTAGGGATGCTCCGATCGATCGGTCAACGATCGAGATCGGCCGATACTCACTCTCTACCGATCGATCGGTGCTCTCTAAACATGCCGATCGCGAGAGCCGATCGCATGACGTAAAATACATGACACTTTTCTCTGTGTGCGGCAAAACAAGCTCGCCAAAATGGCTTCACCGGTCTGGCAGTATTTTAAGGTGTCCGAAAAAGACAGTAAAATAGCGGTATGCAACGTGTGTGTGAAGCAGAAATCCTGCAGCTCCTTGAAGCTATTTGATCTACCTCTGGAACAAGCTAAACTAGTTATTATAAATATATTTATTCTTCACTGTCGGGTCACTCATTACTGGATCAGTGAGCTGCATGAAATACTGACAGGCTGTCAGGAGAGGGAGAGAGGGGGAGAGAGAGAGGGAGAGAGGAAAAGAGAGCGCTTCCGCTCATTTATCCCGAGTTATTCTCCAAAGTGAATGTAAACTTGAATAATGTACATCATTTGAATGTAATAATTAAGTTGATTGTTGTTTGTGGAAGCTCCAGTGAATGAGCCCCATTAACTGAGTTTTAAACATCACTTTAAATGGAAGATTTAAAGTGATGTTTAAATCTTCCATTTAGGCCCCGTCCACTCGCTCGGATCGGCGATCGGTATCGCCCGATACTGATTCCGGCGATCGGTGATCAGCCCCGAAATTGGCGATCGGAGCCTCCCTAGGAATCATGCTTGACATATTTTTCATCTGCAGGTTTGAATTCAAGCAAATCAATGCAATTTAGCAGCGTTTAACTATTCAAAATGTGAAACTGATGCCGCGTACACAAATATTTCTCTTTGATAGATCTAAGGCCCTGTATGGGCATAGATATGTCTCATAATTATTTGTGTGAACATGAAAATATTTTGTGTGTAAATATGTGATTTGTAAATGTAAAACAACATCCACAAATGCATTTAAAAGATTTGCAAACTCACAAATACATTTGCAAGTGTAAAACGGATCTGCAAATACGCTAAATATGTTCACAAATTAAAAAAAGATCTGTGAATATCTCTTTAACATTTACACCTTTCGATCAGGCATTTGTGAATCCATTTTGTATTTGTGGACCAAAAATGCGCTTGCGGATCTCAAATCTCTGTTCACGGATCTCAAATCTCTGTTCGCGGATCGTCTTTTTACACACACGGAATTTTGAGACATATTTTCCGCCGCTCTCGGCTAAAATCTACTCGTGTCACTCGGTTATTTTCGGAAACCACGTGATGGCCTGCTGATGACGACATTTCCGCATGATTTCAAAGTAAGAGCATGATGGTTTGTTTAATGCTCTGTTTTTGTATTATAATGAACAGCGGAACGTTAGATGCATTCTTTATCACCATAACCCTGACCTAAATACGGTGCTTTTCTACAGATTACTTTATTACTGCACTGGTAAGGTAAAATTAGGCCGATTAATAAGATGTGAAGTGCTATGTAACTTCGACCCGCTTGACTGAATACACAACAAACAATGAAGAAAGAGTTTTATCTGGGCTGTTTCGCTGCCAGCTGCTCCCCCGGGACCCGAAAGTGGCATATAGCCTGCACTTCAACATCAACGAAAGTGCTCGATATATGCTATATTGAACCAATAACACAAACTAACTGTATCACTATAACATGATGATGATGGTGATGGTGATGAAGAATGCATCTAACGTGCCGCTGTTCATTATAATACAAAAACAGAGCATTAAACAAACCATCATGCTCTTACTTTGAAATCATGCGGAAATGTCGTCATCAGCAGGCCATCACTTGGTTTCCGAAAATAACCGAGTGACACGAGTAGATTTTAGCCGAGACCGGCGGAAAATATGTCTCAAAATTCCGTGTGTGTAAAAAGACGATTCGCGAACAGAGATTTGAGATCCGTGAACAGAGATTTGAGATCCGCAAGCGCATTGTTGGTCCACAAATACAAAATGGATTCACAAATGCCTGATCGAAAGGTGTAAATGTTAAAGAGATATTCACAGATCTTTTTTTTATTTGTGAACATATTTAACGTATTTGCAGATCCGTTTTACACTTGCAAATGTATTTGTGAGTTTGCAAATCTTTTAAATGCATTTGTGGATGTTGTTTTACATTTACAAATCACATATTTACACACAAATTATTTTTATGTTCACACAAATAATTATGAGACATATCTATGCCCATAGCCCTGACACACCAAGCAGACACCAGAGAACTCGCCGAAGCCGACTGTTGCGTGGCCGTGTCCTCCTGCGTCTTGGCCATGTGTCGCACGGGAACACACCGCAAAGACTTCAGTGCATGAGTGGCAATAACTCTCCTTACCAGCAGGCGGCGGTAGTGTGTATTCGTCATTCAAAAGAGGCAACAACCGGAAGACGGAGAAGAAGAACAGACTGCATGATATAAACAAACAACAAATAGCGCGTGCGTTCCATTTCCCTCTCGTCCATCGAAAACATGTCTCGTGCGGCACTGGAGCTATCAGCCATAAGAGGGGTTAGCGATAAGAAACAATAACAATGTGCCTACATAACTGTCAGTTGCAGCCCTAGCATTAGTATTGGTTATAGTAACAGCTACAACATTAAAATACTTCTAGGCAGATTGAGGAGGATAATGGGAGAATTAACAGAGGGGCAGAAACATCCATCTGAATAATAATAATAACTTTATTTGTATCGCACCTTTCATACAGGGGATTGCAGTTCAAAGTGCTTTACATCAGTAAAAAATAAGATATAAAATCAGTGTAAAATAAGCAGCAAGAGCAAAGCATAAAGTGGGATAAAAATAATGCAGATATATATATATATATATAGTAATCCCAACAGGCCACCTTGTTTATGGTTTGATTCAGTTTTACATTACATTTATTTGATAACTTCAGTTAACTTTGAAGATTCCGAACACTATAAAATATAATCAAGACATATTTTATCATGTATTATAGTAGAAAGTAGAAATAGTTTGAGTAGTTTTTAGTAGAAATATCCCTTACAATAAAGGCAGTATAGTATGCCCGTGTGTCATCTCCAATAAATGGCTTCAACCATCCTTTAAACTCAGGGTTTGATTCCCACTCCTTTCTGTACTTTTGTGAATACAGTTTAGACTGTGACATGATGACCTACGTAGATGTTTAGCTTGTCACAGAGAGACACACACACAGTGGACGAGGTGATTAAGTGACTGAAGCTGTCTCGACGCGGGAGAGTGTGGCTGTCTCCTCTCTGC